GTCCAGAAGACCTATACAATTTTTTTTCCTTTTGATTTTTTTTACCTGGATTACTGAGATGCATCAGGACAGTACTACATAACATTTTAGACACATTCTAGACAGTTTATCAGCTAAAAAAAGTTAATTTGGGGGTAAGTTACTCTTTAATCAGGAGAACTATGTTAGATTTTTTTTAATAATTCTAACCAAGCTGCTAAAATTTCTATGTCAGTGAAGTTTAGTTAATCCTAAACAGCTAAATGTACACCAAGCAAAAAACAAACAAACAAACAAAAAACAAACAAAAAAAAAAACTTGGGAGTCAAGAGAATAAAACTGACTGTCCAAGGGGGTCCTATGTGAGAGAAGTGKGGAAGGGGACACTAATTTTTGTTGTGGTCTTTGGACCCTCATCTTAATGACGCCCCTGCATCCCCACTGAATAAATGACCAGACTATCCCTTTAAGTTGAAGAACACCTTTGTATTCCAGTTCAGGTTTTCCGGGCAACACCTGCCGTCTGCGAAATTCAATTAAGGACTCCTCTTCCCACTTGGWGCCGGTCTCCAGGGCAGATCTTCCGGGCGACTTGCCCTGTAAGAAATTAGAAAAATGCAACAATAAAAAACTTAAAAAAAGAAAAGAAAAAAAGGGGGCAAAAAACTTGATACAAAAATGTGGGAAGTTTAATAGTGAACGCTTTGACGCCTTTCACCGTAATGACACACGTCCCCTCCTTCAGCTGGAAGTCTAAAACAGGTAAGAGTTTTCCTTTCATTTCCAAACACTTCTCTGTCTCTCTCGCGCGCGGAAACAAAAATAAAGTGTTTCCCGCTCCAGCTGCAGCCGCGACACATAAGAAAGCAGGGTTTCACAGTGTGGACACGTTATGGTGGCTTCCAGGACTGTAAACACGGCGCGAGCCTCCGGTCCGTGTGTGCCGAAGCAGCGGCAGCAGGTCCGGTCCGGAGCGACTCAGGGCTGGAAACCCTCACTGTACCTCTGGAAACACCGGACAGGACCGGGCTTTCTCCACACTTTCATATTTCACACAGTGATAAAAGTTCATAACCGTATCTAAAMACTGAAGGGGAGCGAACGCACATAAAAATAAGTTTAAACTTTTTTTGTGTGTTTGATTAAATTCGTCCTTTTCTCCCCCTGAGCTCCAAAGAAATACAGCTTTTCTTCTGAAAGATAAAGAAAATTAAACACGCYGACTTTTCTTTATTATTATTTATGCTGCAGCTTGTTTTGGATGTTAGAAAGCTGTTTTTTTCAGTTCACACTTCTGCAAAAAAAAAAAGAAAAAAAAAGTCAGTTTTGGGTGAGATTTCACACAGTGACAGTTTTTTAGTGAAGAAAAAACTTAGTGAAACTCCTAAACAGGTAGTTGGTTTGGTGCAGTCTCATTTACTGTAAATAGAGGAACCATAAAAAAAGTGCTATCAATTTTCAAAAGCTTGATTTGAGGAAGTTCAGCTCATAAAAAAATAGTTTTCAAACGGATTTATTTATTTATTTTTGTTTAAAYACATAAACTTTCTCTGTGTTTTGCATGGTTAATCAAAGCGGCTGCATTCAAAGCAGCTAAAACAACAAAAAAAATCTGATATGTGCAAGACTTGATTAATACATCAGTTAATTATTAGTAGTTTTATTCAACGAGCCATTTTCTGCACCTCAAGTTTGCAGTAGGCTCCCCCCTATGAGTGACTGTGAGGCAGATTTTATTACTTCTACCTAAAGTAGAACAAACAATCTGTTAAAACACTGCCTGAACCGTGCATGTTTGGTTAGTTGTGATCTCTACAAAACACCACTATGATGTGAGATTTAATTTAACACGCTTCTGTAAAAGGGTCACCGTTTGTTCTTCTGTGCATCTATAAATGTCTGCTGTATGCTTTCCAGTGTGTTATTATTCTCAGGGATGGAGATGAGGACAGGAATAGATCACTGGCACTTTAAGCCCGGATTTCTCATATTCTCGCCGGATCTTTCTCCTTTGCTAATTATTGTGTTGTTTTCAGAGCAAATATGTCATATCCATGGCGACCAGGCAGGTTTATTGTCTCTCCTGTGCCATAGCTCACAAAAGTAATTAATTACCCTCTTTTTTTCTTTTTTCTTCTCCCTTTCCCTCTTGTCTTTGGTTAAACAGATCAWGGAAGGAAGATGGAGAGCCGTCTTCTGTATTAAAAAATGCCRCTGCTAGTACAACACAAGGTAAACATAAAGTTTATTTTGCAGCTTTTCCAGTTTTGATGTTCCTTCTATGCTTTTATTTGGGTTTTGTCTCACAAATCGGCTGAAGAGACAATTTTGTCATGCAAAAAAAAAAGATGCATTATGCACACAGAGTGCTTTTGAAGTATTTTTTTTCATTGTACCCTCATGATGCAGCAGCTGTTCAGCCTTACTGTTGCAGATGTATTCATGCATGCAAAGCGAGCCCACAGTTGGCACACACACACACGCAGGCCAATAAAACACATGTTTAAACATGAAATCAGCTCGCATTTTGTGTGTTTTGAATAGAAACCATTAGCCGGCTTAAAGGTAAGTTTGCTCCGGCGGTGTCTTTTATTTCGTGAGGTCACCAAAAATAATAACCAACAGCAGGTGTCCTCACAGGGGGACAACAGCTCACCTCAGTGTACGGCAGGTGTTTTGTCCCTCTGCCTTTATGCTCAAAAAGAGCCAGGATTTGGTCAGCTGAAGGAGTTTTGCAGCCCCCTCGTCCCGTGCTCTCCCTGAGTGTGTGGCGGGACTGTGTCGGCATGTGTCTGCTGTCTGAGGGTTCGTCTCTGGCTGGACACCGGCCAGCCCTCACTGTCAGATTGGTGGTACAGGTTCTCATCTCTCATCAGCGTTAATGAGACACTGTAGGATCTATCTGTCAAACACACTGCTCCTCTTCATCCACGTATCTTCCTCTCGCTCCTTTGCCTTCCTTCTTTCACAGTCTCGCTTTGACACGGTGAAAGTGAACTTCATGAGATGCAAAGTATAAAATTGCTTATTGTCCACATATTTTGTGTGTTTATGGTAGGTTTCAGTTGATGTTTCTCTAAGATTTAATACTTTATCTTTTGTTAGCGAAAYTGGTTAATCAGTATCTGATGCATCCACTTCTTAGTGCTCACATCTCTATCTGTCAGCTAAACGCCTCACGTCTCACAAGTACCCATCTGCATTTGTCAAGGGGCGTGTAGAATTAAACCCATGTGTATTCATTTTTGTCTCTTTGACCTTGGCTGTGGACCTCAGATCTGTTGGTGTCAAATAATGTCTGGCCGCATTTGACAAGCTTCAGGAGCCATTACTTTTGTTTCCCCCCCACAGCACATAATCTTTATCAGTTGTCCTGCATGTAATCATTTCGTACGCAAACTCACACAGCCACGACCAGAGTTTTCCCCATAAAAACACACAGCCGTCAACACGTACAGTTATACCAGTACAAATAGCGCGCATGTTTTTTTAATCATCATCATTGTTTTTATTTTAGTGCTGAGGAAATGTCCTTTTTGCATGCTTGATCAGCCAGTAGAGAAATCCAATATAATGGAGGTTCAAGGTGAATTGCATCCCGTGCGCCACCCCACCCCATTCGACTGAAGGAATATTCCAAAGCAAAATAAACAAATCACACAGACAACAGTAATATAGGGTTGATTTTGAAGGCATGAAATAAGTATCGATTAAACCCTGCAGTTCATAGATGAAAATGGCCTTTTTGGTAATTTGTCCTGGGTCCTCTCAATACGGTGAAGAAGGAGAGAAACGAAGGTGTGGGCTGGGGAGGAGAGACAGTGCGGACAGGGCGGAAAGGAAGACTAGTCGGGAAGAATARGACAAGCGAAAAGAAAGACTGGAAGAAAAGCTTTTGCAGACTTAAGAAGAAACAAGCTGCCCCTCTCCGAGCTCATTATCATTCTTAATGAGTCTTAAGGAAGAAAGAAGCGTTGAGCGTAAATGCACGGTAATCCTTACGCTGGCCAAGGTTAGCAGGGACATCAACACACCGTTTCCAGCTGGCCACTTTGGGACAGGGAGCACAGTTAAGGATAGATGTTCAAGGAGAACGTGAGGACGTTTAGACGGTGTGCAAAGGTTATAAGCCCTTTCCCCCAGCTTGTAGCTTTTCAGTGCTCGTGCCACCTGGCATTTAATGAGTAAACAGATCTGCATTAGACTGGACAAAACAACAACCCTTTGCCTTAAGACAGTWATAACTCAAAGGATAAAACTGAAATCCWTGGTTTGACAGGATTCAACCTAAATCAGCACACTTTAGGTGTGGTCCAGAATCTCGCCTTTTAAATGAATTCAATTCAATCATTTAACAAAGTGCCAGTTACTTGTACTGGTTGTTCAGCCATGTTGCTTTAATGGAAATCCAATGCAGTATTTATATACCGTACAGAATTTACAGTCCAGTGTTGTGTCACATCATTCATCCTACAGGGCTAATATTATTAATGTGCAGCATTTCCATTTGTTAATCAAACCAAATGTGTGAATGTCCGTTGTATCAATCTTAGGCTCCGCTGAACTACACAGGAAAGWCGTAACACTGCGTCAACAGAAAACTCGATTTTCACCTGAGTTGTAAGAAGTTCACTCTAAAGTAAGAGTTGCTGTAATATTTGAGTGTGAAACATGCTGGATGAATGATGTCACTCAATATTTATGTGCTTGAAAACACTTTCGCTGATAGCTATGGAAGCAGTTTCTGCATTTCTTTCTTTTGGCCACTGCCATAAAAGGTGGGCGACAATGTAATTGTTTCTGTCAGTGTACAAGCATGTCTTTCTATCTTTGTGTGGACATTTCTTTGACATTAAGCAAACCTGAGGACATTTCTGCCTGGTCCAAACAAGGAAAAACCCCATTTTTGGGTCAGRGGTTAGGGTTTGGGTTAAAATATGAATTAAATTTAGGTTAGGTTTATGGTAAGGGGTCAGGTCAGATATTGAGCTATAATTTAGCATTRTAGTAGCTTGGAGTCATTCACATACTCACAAGTCTAAGATTGTGCAAAATCTTTTATTAAAATTTTGGCATGCATTATAGTAGGTGATTTACATTTCTTCAAGAAATGACTGCATTCTTTTTTTTTTCTAATGTGCTGGTCAGTTCTAAATCACCTATGACAGAAAGTGCTCCCTGGCAATAAATGAGTTTAAAAATAATAGTAATAAAATATAAAAAGCATCCTGCCCAACCCTAGCTTTGAACGCCATTAGTAAAACAATTCATGACAAAGCACAATAAAAATATCATTGATTGAACAGAAGACAAGCTTCTAAAAATAATCCCTGTCACTGTCAGTTGGTTTGTTCCACAAGACCATCTGGAAAGTGGTCCTCTCCTGAAACAACTTTGGCAGGTGCTGGCACAATGAGTGAATTTCCAGCAGTCGGATCAGAACAGTGATAAACCCGAGCAGCACCAGCAAGTGAAAAGGAACCAAACACAGTATTAGACACTGATTTCTTCAAATCTTTGTGTTTCATTGTGCGAGTCACTTATAAAGCTTTGTTAAAGTTAATAAATGAATGAAAGCTCTTTGACATCGTGCTTTTATGGTTTTTGTTTAGCCGTCGTGCTGTCCTTGGGTCAAAATGACCCCCTTCATGATGGCTTATTTTTGTCATAATTCTCCAGCTGGCCACTTATTAAAAAAAGAGTAAATATTTTATAAAGCTGTGGTTTTGTAATCCTGAGGCTGCAGGTTGTATCCAAAAGGGCAACTAATTGCCAAATATTTCTTTCAAGTTTGCTTGCTGTGGTGACCCCTGCAAGAAGGGAGCAGCCGAAAGAAAACTAACATTTTAGGAATAATTTTTGTAAAGAATAAATGGTAATTAATAAAACAACATTAATAAAAATGGTGCGCTATAACTTAAAAACCCCAAACATGACAGAAGTCCCTCTGCAATGAATCAGGACACATTTTAGGATTGAAACTCTTTCAAAAGCAGTCCCTTTATTAACTTAGCTCACTCCTTGAAGTGTGACATTTTAATTAAATTGAACAATTTATTTTATTAATAAAAAGAATACTGTTGCACTGTTACTGACATATAGTTAAATAAAACAAATCAACAAATAAGTAAAAAGTTTGTAGTGTTTTGAGTTGATTTTGTGCTTTTTTGTGTCTAGTTCTCCATTTTTTGGCTTTGATTTAATGAGCTTCAGTTTTATGTTTAGTTTGCGTCTTCCTCATTTCCTGTTTTGTTTTGAACGTCCCAGTACCTCTTGTCTTTATGTTTACTTTTTTTTCTCTTCCTGTTTGTTGCTCACATGGGTTTTGTTATCGATTGGCACTGACCTGTTTCTCATTTGTCATTTATTGTTCAGAATTTATTCTTCATTTGTGCACAGCAATCATTGTGTGTGTGTGTGTGTGTGTGTGTGTGCGCGCACCTGTTTTTACTACAGAGTGAGGACAATTTGTGCCATAGTTACAATAAAAGTGAGGTCTTTGATGTAAAGTGAGGACCTCTTCAATGTCCTCACCTTGTTTGCAGTTCTGCTGTGCTTTACTAGTTAGGTTTGGTGTGGATTTGCTCAGGATGGGAGACTGTGATGAAGTGATTCAACGCAGCCTGCTGCTTTCTTCTTTAGATTATTCTTTAGATTATTCTCTTTATGTACAGTGCCCCGAGACAACGTATGTTGTGACTGGGCGCTATATAAATAAACTTGAACTTGAACTTGGATTAAGTTTTGGTTCAGGTTAGGGTTGGGCGATATTGGCAATAAAATTAATCACAATTAATTGTGGTATTTAGCCGATAACAATCAATTTGATGATTAATCCCCTGGAGTCCCTGGATACCCTTATGTCCTAGTCACATGACCAATTTAGTGGGAAAGATTTGCTCTTCGTAAAAATCTTTTTCAAACTGTCAAAATCACAGACTTCAGGCTATACTTCAAATTTGAAATTGTGTTGATAAATAAATTACAGAACTTTTGTTTAAATGTTCGTCATATTTGAAGCGGAGAGGAGCACCGAGCGGACTGACCAGGGAAATCTCCAGTCACTCTGCCTGGTGGCATTAATCGTATTAATCGTCAAGTGCCAAAAAAAAATTGATTAATGTTTTTCTGACGATTAATTGCAGACGATACGATTATGCCAAACCCTAGCTCAGGTTAGGGTTAGCTATAGACCAGTAATGGTTAGTTTTAGGGAAAATGTCTGGGTTAGG